CAAATTGTCGATATGGACATTAACATCCCCAGTAACAGTGAGGATAAAGGAAAAAGGACAGATGTGGAGCCAAGTCCTGAAAATAGAATTGTTCAACCTAAGTAAGCTATAAACTTCCAACTATGTCAGGCTGGAGGGTAGAAGGTCGGAGAAAGGTCTGTTTTCAAGAGAAGATCTGAGGATTTGAAGGGCAGAGAATTTGAATGAGATTTGGAGAGTACAGCAGTTAAACTGTGAAGTGTCACTTAGAGCTCTCCCATTGCCTGGTAGAAAGCAGTATTCAGTGGTCCTACTAATATAGTATCTGCATTGAGTCAGCCAGTGGGTTTGACATTAATGGGGCTAGCTGGCATAAATAATCTTAGGGCATGCATACAGGTGGAAGATATGGGTATAAATACCAGTTAAGGCTACACAAAGTGAGACACAATGTAAAAATGCAAATAAATGTACTTTTTCATAACTGAAAGAAATTTGTGATTAACCAAGAAAAGAAGCCCAGAAAGATGAAAATGAGAAAAAATAAGTATCAAACATATGACATCAGACATTTGATCTAGATAGTTATGTAATGTCAGTACAGTATCATCTGAAAGAATGAAGTGATGTTCAGATATTTGGAAAACATCTGAAAGGCACATGCCTTTTGGGGAGTTGTGCTTAGAAATTCTGACACTGTTTGGCTGATGTTATAGGACAGGAAGTCCCAAAGCTAGAGTTTATGGGGATGATGACAATTTGGTTGGCACTCTTCTTCCTGCTGTCAGAGCCCTGCAAGTTCTATATGCTTTGTAAAGCAGCAAAAAGAAAGCACATGGTAGATATTCATCAAGAGTGCATAGTTAGTAAACAGTTCCCCCTCACAAATACATCAGGTGTATGTAATTATAATTTAACAATTTTTATTTTTAAATGCCACCATTATCAGTTGAGTTATGTTGATGTTATCCCTTAAAATATGGAGATATATACTACTGCAACTCTACTATACATAGGAAGGCTGTTAATTGTATTTCCACAATAACTTGAATAATATTGTGTGATTAAGGTAAACCCATGAAATATTTTTAATGTCTGCTTGCTGTCTGGAACCTTCACATAATATTTCAACTTTTCATGAACAGAAAAATTATGAGAACACCAAAGCTCATTTCCTTTTGACCCCCTAAATGCCCAGAAATATTGAGCCTTTTAACCCCCCTCCCCCCAGTCCCCCACACTTATACTCAAAAAACACAAATTACACTCTATACAGATCCTTAAGGTGAAATCCTGACCCCATTGAAGTCAGTGGCAAAACTCCTATGGACTTCAGTGGGGCCAGGATTTCATCCCTGGTGTATATACATAGTCTGAATGTGAATTTGGAGAAAAGCCGATAAACACATGTCTATTCTTTAGGTTAAAATACCACAGAAGAAGAGTACTTGCACAATATGATGAGAGAGTATATATACACATTAAACCATAACTTATTAGTAAGGCTACGAGTTGGTTACAGAGATCACGGATTCTGTGATTTTACATGACCTCTGTGACTTCAGCCCTGGGCAGTGGGGCTCCAGCTGTCAGCCCCAGGTGGTGGGGATCACACTTCAGCCCCGGGCCACAGGGCTGTGTGTATGTGTATGTGTGCTCAGCTCCAGACTCTCTATCTATATTTTCAGAGAAAACAACGATGTGTTCCACTGCTTCTTGGTCTTGTTTTTTTTCCCCCAGCTCAAAATGCAAATGCCAGGTTTGGCTGAGTCACTGTTATTCTCTCTTGGAACAGAAGGTGGTGGCCTTGCCCTAGTGTTGCTGTTTCTCTCCCTACGCAGAGAGTTCATCTGAGTTCAACAAAATCATTAAAAAACCATACTTCTGGAGAGGCTCTCCCGCCTGAGAATGCTTTTTGACATGTTTCACTTGCTGAGGAGACTGGCCATCATTAGCCCCAGGGTACAACTAGATTCTGTCCTTTTTCATTAGACTATTTTTATTCTCATATAACATACGTGAATCCATAAGCTCTTATTTCTTAATAACTGTCCTTGTTAGCTTACTTCACTTCTTTATTCTCTGAATCTCTTGTCCACATGCACCTTTCAGAATGCAACAATAAAGTAAAGATTCTTAAGCTGAGAGAGCCATTTCAAAAAACTCATTATTAAACGTCACAAGGAAGGATCAGTAACCAAGACTTGATATTGAGAGGTTCTGAACATCTGCACTCTCATTGATTTCACATCTCAGGTTCAGACCCTTAATGCCATAGTCCAGAGATCATATTCTGCCCTTCCTTAAATGGGAACTATACCCCCGTAAGGAAAGGCAAAATTAGATATGTAAAAATGACAACAGAGAAATACTATATAAGTGTTATTTTACATTTTATTTTAATAAACTATTAAGTAAAGTGCTTGCAAAGAAAATTATAGAGCACTAATACTACACTACTGTAATGAACCATTCAGCAATATATTAAGTAAAGATCTGAAAAGTAAAGCTGTGCAAAACCAGGGCATAGTGCCTTTCATCTCAGAGCACTTTGTATAATTACACATAGGAATCATTTCACTCACTACTGAAATGCAACTGCTTTTGCTGTGGAATGCATCAGCACAATAGTTCAGGACTGAGATGTGAAAAAGATGACTATGTCCATTTAAAATGACAAGGAGGATGTAGGGCAGGGAGACCTGTCTATGTTAGGTGCAAAATTGTACTACATTCATGTTAAAACTAATATTTTGCAGTTCTATAGCATTTCACATCCAAATATTTCACATTACTTTACCAAAATAGTAATTAATTTATTAACACTAATTAAGCCTTACAATATCTGTTTTACAGCTTTTATAGATAGATAAACTGAGGCATATAAGAGGTGAAATTATTTGCTTAAGGAAACAAAAGTCTGTGACAGAACTAGGAATAGAACCCAGGAGCCCTGGCTCCCATTCCTTTACTTTAACCACACTGCACTAGACAACTCCAATCCAAACTATTATTAAGTCCATGAGAAGGTACATGGAGCTACTCTGGCAAGAAACTTAAATATATTTAAAATGAAAACAAACTTCACTGAATGAGAGTCAAGGGAATCATTGGGGAACAACTTCTGCTGGTGAAAAAGACAAGCAATAAAAGTTGGTCCAGTACAATACATTACCTCACCCACCTTGTCTCTCTAGTATCCTGGGATCAACATGGCTACAACATTGCAAACAGCTTCACTGAATGTAATTTCCCAGAAAAATCACACAGTTTAAATTGCAATAACATTTTATTTGAAATACTTTTATAAACTAAATTATGTCCCATAAAATATTGCACTTCATATCTGACAGTAACTAATAACAGTCTCATTATTAATGCTAGAGCTGGTTGGAAATTTTCTGATGGAACATTTTTCCGTTGGAAAACACTGATTTGACAAAATCAAATCATTCTACTGAACTGTGTCAATTTCAATGAAATTCTGACAGAAACCAGGCAGGTTTCTGATGGAACCTTGACTGCCAGTTTAGGATTTTATTACTCCCACACCCTCCCATCATCAGCCTGGGAGTTTTCCTCTCCCATTACAACTGGGCCTACAAATGTGCTCTAATTGTGAGCTCAGCTATGAGAAGTGAGTGAAAGTTCATAGAATATTGCAATAGCCTACAACAATAAATGCTGATTTAAAAAAAAGGTGCAAAAGTGAGACGAAGACTGAACTGGTCCAAAAAGGGGAGGTGTGGAGGGGGCTCTACTGATATAACTCAAGGACTGTGTAAAGGTCATGCTTGGTAAGCAAGAAAAGTGTGGAACCATAAATCAGTGAACCAAAATTGGTGTCTCAGAAATTAGGCTCATTTGGTGGACAAAATAATGAGGGGATGGGCTATTTTGCCCATCACTCCCTTTTGGGGTTCTTGAAAAAGAGACTTTGGGGGGAAAACACAGGTGAACAGATGGTTACCAGCGATACTGACTGGCTGAAAGATGGGGAAGGAGTGAGCTTCACTATCATGGCTGCCAGACCCACCATCTCCTGGGACCCTGGACTTTCTTCATCTTAATCCTGAGAGATGTGCTGAACAGACTGGGCCAGAGAGAGGGACCAAGAGAACTTTGCCACCTCCAATTCTGCCATCTCCATCTGAATCCGAAATACCACCTGGGATGTGAGGCTTTGTCACTCACCCCCAGTGTGTCCTTTTCCTTCCACCTTACTTCTTCTCTCTCCTATCCCTCTCCTTTCTCCTTCTGTCTAATAAGAGTCTGTCTTAGCCAGCTAAGATGCTATATTTTGTAACACTGCTGTAAGCCTGTGACCATAAAGACAGCTAAATGCAATGACCTAAACAGCTCAATGTTGGTATAAGTTTGCTAGGTCTTGGGGTGGCTGATAAGACACATGGCAGAATCCTACCCCAGGTAAATCAATATCCCTTTTTAAAAAAAATATCCTTACAATGATGAGAGGAGGAAGAAATAGAATTCAAGAAAACAATCATTATAAGGCAAAATGAATTATAAAAGAAGGGTCCCACCCCATCCAGTTCTGATGAAGGCAAAAATCTCACTGAAATCAACTGTAGTTCTGCCTGTATAATAGTAGTAGTGCAGTCAAGGGTAAACTGAGTTTACCCACTTCTCATTTAAGGAATGGGAGTTTAGTTTAGGTAAGTTTAGCCTACTTTTTTTTTTTTTTTAACCACTACACCACTGCAGCCTCTGCACAGCAGAATCAGGCACTAACAGGTGTTATTTCCCCCCCACTACATGCACATAGCTCCCATTCTGATCACATGAACCAAAAGGAGGAATGACCCCTACAGGACATACAGCAATTATAGTTTTGAAAAACACTGGATTGATTCTATCACATCTATAAGTTGCTGTATGTCAAGCAATGTGTCTCAAGCATGAAAATGATTTTCCTGCTGTGCACCATTCGTATTCTTCACAGGGAATATATAACTTATGAAAAAGAAGATGCCATGGCTAACAAAAGAAATCTTACTTACGAGTATTTAGTCAGCAGTTCCAAATCATTATGCATGTTGATTGGATACGTCTCACCGAGATGAAATAGCTTCTCTAAGGCCTCATAAATGAAAATGATGCAGATAAGAGAAGCAAATGCTTCTTCAGTAAACCGGGTAATGTAACAGACTAGGGAGCTTGCATCAGTTGCAACAAGGATGATACATAGTGTTGCAGTCCATAGTCCAATGCTAGCTCTCAAAGAAAGGTATGATAACCCATATTCTCTAATAAAAAAAAGAAAAATTAACAGAGTCAAAACATTAATTCGTAGGCACAGAAGAGGAAATACTACAAAAATCCACTCTGTGTAGGTATGTGCATTTTTTCTATACTCTCTTGACCTGCCAAATGCAAAAGTCATCTCTAGAAAGACTGAATCCAAGGAGGCTGTCCATCTCTGCAAGAAGCAAAGAATACAGCCAGCTCTAATGCCCAAATCAACACTAAAGTACACTGTAGAACTCTATTTGGTAACAGAGATGTGAGCAGAACTTGCTACTTTGTGAATGCTATGGTGTATTAATGTCCATCTTGAAGCCACCATTGGCCCTGGACATAATACTGTCCTGACAGTCAAGTACTATGTTGGTTAGCTTACCAAGGAGGGAACATGCATAGTAGCTCATGTAATGCAGTTTTCACCTTTATAAATAAAGAACTAGAGATACTCCATGTAGATATAGTCATATTATTCATTTACCCCCTTTTTAATAGTATTGAACACCACAAGTTATAAAATAGGCCATGGATTTCAATTGTACTTTGCAGTGGCCAGATCCCTTTTTACTGAAAAACTCTATCAAAATGTAATTAATGCTCTCAGTTAATTCAGCAATTCTTTTTTACTGTCTCACTGTTTAATTAAAAAACAAACTAGATGCATTAAAGATTTCCCAATTACAATAAAAAAGAGAAAGTTGTGAAGAAATGTGAAGGCCCTTTTAATTCAGAATTTCTTTCCTTTCATGAAAGTAAGTCAAATGTCTTCAAGCCAGATTCTCATCTGGTCTGAGTGTGCTACTAAAGGGGACAATGAGAGGCAATTGTGTACACCCTCAAAGGCGTGGATTAAACTTTGGATGCACTCTAATCCTGAGTGGGCAGCAGAAGTGGCAGATCCCTACATCTGCCTGTTTTCTTCAACTTCAAAAGTGCAAGACAATAAGTGGTTGTGATCAGCAAGATAGTGGTTACAATAGTCTCAAAGTCTTGCCTCATTCACATAGACTCTCACCCTCCATCCACAAACTAGAGCAAAACCCTCTGTGCTGGCTGTACATAAGCATACATGGGGCATGCTAGGGCCACATATATCTTGGCCCCAGCTAATCTGCACGAAGAGCTGGGAGGTCTTTTCCCATCATGGAGATGAGAGGGAACGGTCAGGGCCTCCCACTCTGCCCTGTTCGTCAGGAGGATCAGGAGGTTTTGCTCTGCCATCAAGCCTTCCTGCCTCAGAAGTCCCAATTGTAAAAATGAGGCAGACTGAGCAGATGGGACTCATGGCAAGAAGTGTGTAGGACGGGTACCCATCTGCCCACATTAGGCCCTGGATCTCAGAAACCCACCACTACTGGCTGACAATGTAGGCACAATTTTCACTCATTTTGTGGCAGAGGGATCTTACTTACAGTGTATTAGCATGTAAGTGCAGGTTTGGTTTACATTTTATTTAGCTCTTTTTCAAGAGACAGGGGGCAGGGAGAAAGGTTATATCGCATTTATTCCATGGATTAGGAGATGCTGCTCAACTCCAGTACCTGTCAGCTTCACACTGCTGACTATGTTGTTATGAATGATAAAATGCCGAAAAGCCATGAAGTGTGTCTTATTTTATATGGTGGTTTCCATTCATGAGATTTAAATTGAATCATTTTGGACCAGGAATCAATCTAATACCAATCTGAGTTTGGATTCCTTTCAGAACAGTTTTAAAGTGAAAAATTAAAAACACCTTTTATCATTAAGCGTCTCCTTTGTTTTGGTCACCACATATCTTCCAGTGTTCCTCTAAAAGTCTGAGCAATGTTTCCCCAAATCCTGACTTCTCATTTTATACTAGGAGGTGTTGATACCTCTCATGGACTAACGTGGGATTGTGCCCTTTGTTATATTTCTAATTTTATATAGATTATTATCAGTTAAAATGTAGTTCATGAAGTCACACAGGAAAAGGATAACCAAATTTAAATTACACATAAGCAAATTTTCAGCATGCTGCCAGGGGATTTATAATGCTGATTTAGCCACATACACACCCATACATCAAAAATATTCTCTGAAAGTTTATTTAAATAAAATTACTTCACTTACTTGCAAAATTTAAATAATATCTTTTCAAACACCAGCACTGGCCCTGTGCTGCCTAGAATAGTAAGAGGCTGTCCACCAAAGAGAGAGTAGGCTATTCCAGTCATGGATGCTCCAAACAAAGATTCTATTGCACTCTACATGTGAAAAAAAAAAGTGAACTTTCAGAAATTTTCTGTCAGAGTCCCAATACTGTGGGTAACAACGCAGTTTCAGACTACAACATTTTAAAGGTGACACATGTAATATTAAGAAAATTCTAACCCCAAACCTAAAAGGGTAAATATGTTTTAAAAGTTCAGATTAAAGTAAAACACATACTATACGACCTTCAGTTGCTTCTCCCAGCAGACCGCCAAACGTGATGACAGGAGACATACAAGCACAGTAGAGAAATAAAAATGATGCTAGACACTGCAGACTGAAAGCATCCCTGAAGTCACTCCAGAAGAAGGGAACTTTTCTTTTGATATCTAAAATCAATCCCCCAAAAAACCTAAGAAAAGGGGAAAAATAAAGACAGAAAGAAAGAGTTCTGGTTTCTTTCACCACTGGGATGAATTATGAGACCTGTACATGTGAAATCTAAGGTAATTGTGTCTCGCGCCCCCAATCTCAGTGCCTCACAATCTTTACAGTATTTGTCCTCCTAAAACTGATGTGAAGTGGGGCAGCACTATTATCCTCCTTTCACAGAGAGGGACAAGAGACACCAAGTGATTTGCCCAGGGTCACACAGGAAACAGGAACTTGAGCCCAGGTCTCCCAAGTCCCAGAGCTAGTGCCCTAAACCAATGAACTAGCCTTCCTCTTTTTCATCTGACACTTGCTACTACCATAGAATACGTCTCTAGCATCTTTACTCATGTTGAGTACTACTTTGATCCATGAGTAGTCCACTGAGATTGATGGAACTACTCACAGAGATATGTACTACTTAGCATATGCTGGCTATTTACAATTTAAAATCTGTTCTCAAAAGAAGCTTTCTAGTGAGTTCTTTCCCTCTGTAAGGAGCTTTGTACAGTACTAGGAAGCAGCAGACTACATTTTCATAAATGGTGTAAGATTCACACAGTCTCTGGACCAAATAGTATGTCACGTTTCATAAATAACTCATTCAGTACCCTGCCTGAGTTTCTGTGGTGATGAAGAGGCATCGGCACACACACTCTTCAAGACAAGCCAAAAAGTAGCCCCGAGGAAGACAGGACCCAAAGCAAACAACAAAAGAAAGTTCTCAAATGGCATTGGCTCATATGTAAACCCAGTTCCTGATCTCATGTCATTGTCTTCTTTAAATCAAATGATAGTTCCTCACGTGGGAAAAACCTGTATGATTCCATTAACTTTAATACAGCTATACTGATTTACACCAGCTGATGCTCCGGTTTAAAGTCTTTTCCTTTATAGAAAGGGACTTCTGATATAAATAATGCTAGTAAAAATGTTATATGGCAGGTCCTGTTTCACACAGAACAGACTGAGCTAACTATAGGACTTCAAGTATCACCCATTCTGCAATAGTTGTCTATTGCGTCATAGCACTTCCACATATCTCTCTCCTTGATTACAACTATCAAGCTATCAAACTTTCAGAATTTCTTTGGATGAGTGCAGCTTGCAGTCTTCTCTTTCCCCACGCTTTACTGTTGGTCCCACAGGATTTTGTTCTCAGTCCCCTCTGCTTCTTCCTCTACTATCTCCCCACTTGGGCTAATTCAAATGGTTCCCTGGCTTTAATTATTATCTCTTGGTCAATGTCTTCTAAATCAACTTCCAACCCTTCCACTCCTATTCAAGTCTTGCATCTTCAAATGCCTCTCAGACATTTGTGTCTGTCTGCTACTGCCATCTCAGACTCAACATGGCAAATACTCTCCTTTTTCCTACCAAACCTTCATATCCCCTCTCTTCTCCAACACAGATGAGAACAGCACTGTCATTCCACATGATCCAGTTTCTCACTAGAGCCTAGGTTTCTTCCTCTACATTTCTAAAATATAGTCACTTCCATTCCTACTTCAAAAGCATTTTTCCACGCCTTGATCATTTCTCACTTTGATCACTGCAACCTCATCCTTTTTGCGCCTGACTTTTTATGCGAGCTGTATGCACATTAACCCACTAAGGACAGATGTGTGTATTTAAAACAAACTAATCTCCACACTTTTTTGACAGTCATCAAAGTCAGAAGGAATTCCCGAGTGGTATCATTGGCATGGTGGTGCCTCTATGATGCCCCTTTTCCTTTAGCTCCTGATGTACTGGGTGTAGCTGTGTTAAAGGGACATGGCAGATGTGTCACTACAGTCTGACAAGCCCTACCTAGCATAATGGACCTTTGAGCTGTAAGCAGTTTAGAGCAGTCCTGAGGCTATTCTAAGTTTGATGGTAGGGGAGGGACTATCTTCTGGCCAATCCTAAGGTTGGGGTGGTCTTTAAGTATGTCTTAAAAGAATGCAGAGAAAAGGATATATGGTGCATGACATATAGGACAAAACAATATACAGTAGAACATCAGAGTTATGAAGACCTCGGGAATGGAGGTTGTTCGTATCTCTGAAATGTTCATAACTCTGAACAAATATTATGGTTGTTCTTTCAAAAGTTTACAACTGAACATTGACTTAACACAGCTTTGAAACTTTACTATGCAGAAGAAAAATGCTGCTCCCCCCCCCCTTTTTTTAAGTAGTTTACATTTAACATGGGACAGTATTTTTTTTTTTTTTTTTTTGGTGATCTCTGCTGCTGCCTAAATGCATAGTTCCATTTCCAAATGAGGCGTGTGATTGACTGGTCAGTTCATAACTCTGAGGTTCTACTGTCTGACAATATGGCACCCGGTGAGTCCAATAAAAGCCCATGTGTTTAAAAATATTATATTAGAAAAGAACTCCCCTGAAATGTATACTTTAGGTCCTCAGACACATGCACACACAACAATAATTCATGTCAATGGGAGCTGAATATTTTGGCCTAGTGTGTTTAAAGAAAAGCCAGGGCTGCGCTTTTTGTCACAAATGAGAGCAGACTTCTTCCACCATTCCTTTCACACTATACAGAACAAGCAGCATTAATCATGATTACCAGTGGCTTGACCATCATATATTATTGAGAAAGGATCTTACATTAAATAAAGAAAGTAGAACGCATATTCCAGAGATAACTAATAGTGCAAATTAGCAACTAAGTGTCTGTTTTTCCACTCATTTAGAGATACATAAATTAGGAATAACTCCATTACAGTGAACTCAGTGACATGCTATATCAGTATAGTTGAGAGAGAATGAGGCCATTAGACTTCCTTTTGGAAGTATATTGCTTAAAAAAATATCACATTTAATCAAGTTTTCCACTAACTTTCCAGTCCGTTGCAATTCTGGTCCACTGTGTCCTCCAAGTGGTACCGGGTCCCCGAGAGCTGCTGTTCCATTTGGCACTCCTGGGATCTTGCGCTTCTCCTAGAAGAAAGAAAAGACATTTTCTATTGAGTTTCACCCAAAAATGCAGTTTTAGCAAAGGACACAAGTAGGCACATGGCGCAGTCAGGTATTTTTCCTGTAGGGTATCATTTTCAGTTTCTATGCAGAAGTGAAAGGGATGTGCATTTGCAGAATTATATGTGTGTGTCCATTCTGTGGGGTGTTATCATTTGAATGAAGCTGTGCTGCCTCCAAATAGGTCAGGGTGCTATGACCCAGGAGAAGCAACTTGCAAACAGTAGGATGTAGTATCACTGCTGCTCAATTAGTAGCACCGCTTCTAAGCTTCCGAAAGAACCCTTTCTCCACAGGAGTAGAGATGGCAGTAGAGCCAGAAGTGAGATGGTTTCAGTCAATAGGAGCTCTCTGTGGTGGCCATGCTAACAGCTCTCTCCAGTGGCAAGCTGCTTCTCTTCAGGAGGAAGGCACAGCAAAGTCCAGATGTGGGCATGGGCTAGAAGCTGGACCCATGTCCCAGAAAGGGTGTTACTGACACCAGGAAGACACACAGGCTATTGAATAGGCTGGTTTACCCTGGCTCCATCTTGACCACCACCTGCAGCAAATAACAAGTCAGTTGGGATATCACCTCTGTCCCACAGCAGGGAGGGATCAAAGGGACTGCTGCTATTAACAAGAGAGTGACAAAAGGTCAGTCAGGGCTGGAGGACAATCCCTTGCTCCACAGCTATGCAGGTCCCCTGTGACTATTCCACTGTTTTTTAATGTAAACAAATAGAGACCCCCATATATATATATATATATTCCTGACTCCCTCTCTCCCCCGATCGCTAGGGTTTGCAGTAACTCCCAGCACAGGTACAGAAGAGATTGGCTTACTTGGGTGTAGAAGGGGCTGAAGACTTCATTTACTTTATGTCTCTATCTCCCTGTTAGCAGAGAAGAACCCACCTCCTATACAGCAAGTATGACTCATCTCAGCCCCTTCCCTGTTCCAGAATTGCTTAGCTCAGTGCGCAGTGGATCTACCTGTTCTTAAGGCTCTGTCCCATAGACTTGGCCTATTGTGGCCCACTGAACCCTTAAATGCTGCAATAATTGTAAATCAATCTGAACGGTTTCCCAAACTTTGTCATGGTGTTGCACCCATAAGGTATGGAAGAATCATATATATGGAAATACCATAAGGGGTTCCTTTGTTGTAAAAAAAAAAATACAAAATTGGGTCCAAGGAAATTGTGCCAAAAAAACATTTTAAATCAACAACAGACCAGGATGTTTTGTATCTATTCTCTCTTTCTAGGTCATTATATTTCCACTTAAAACTAGCAACTCAGCAAAAACAGACCCATCTCTTGAATATAACAATAAACAAAATAATATTTATGTGAAAGGCATTCCCTTGCCAAGATGCTTTAGGTGCCAAACAATTTAAAATGCAGTACAATTATAATCGAACAGTAGAAAAGTAGATAGCATTTTAAAACCCATTTAACCATTTGTTGAACATGCAGTAACAATTAATTAACAGTTTAGGAATGCAATCTAGTTTGAACAAAAATATTCCTTTATTCCTTGACTTGCTTACACCTATTCTGATGAGAATGGTGTGTCTCTAGGGAGGCCAAGGTCACAGTTTAAAAAAAAAAAACACATTTAAAATATCTCTGTCTCTGCAGAGTAACGATGGCTTCACAACATTCTCATTTATTAAACATTTCTATGGACGATAGAGATCTTGTACCAATTTCTCTCCTTTGCTTCAATCTTAAAGTGAGTTTACTTAACTTAACTGATCTCTTATTTGAAGTGCAACAAGGACCACAGTAGGAGTAAAACTGTATCATTGCTTTTACAGTCCTGCACTTTGAAAAATAGGCAACCAATGTCCTTTGAAGTAACGTAATAAAGTGATTGTTTTATCCAAAACCATGATTTACACTTACTATTCTAGTCTATACTATTGTATATAGGTTCTTGTATAGTGCTCTTCACCATAGTATCTCTGTGCCTTCCAGTAGTGCATTAAGTAATGTGACTAACATCTGTCACGTTTTTCTTTCATCCTCTCCCCAGGGGGAGGAGTGTGTACAGCATTTTGTTTTGTGTTACTGATATCCTATTATTGATATTAGGGCTCTTATGGCTGCTCTTCTATAGAATAAGCAGCACACAGATAAAAGCATAATTTGCCCAGAGAGGATTACGTGAACAAAAGACCTTTAGATTTTTTAAAAAATCACTAGATCAGCTTAGAAATGAATAACAGACATTTTACACCCACAAAATAATTAAATGAGTATGTGACCTATTGGAGAGCAGTTTCTCTCTCAGATACTTCTAATGCACCTGTCACTCTAGTATCTAAGTAACACAAAGTCAAAATCAATGCACTTGTTTTGTTCTGTTTCATACAACTATTTGTTTTTGCTCAGGAGAGGCCCGGAACTGAACTAAGTATGAACAACAGTCTCGGCACCGCAGAGAATTGTTCTTGCCAGTCAAGGGTCAGTTTGAGTAAGTTGAACAGCAAAGTAATGCATGGAAGTTCATACTTCAGGTGCCTACAAGTATTGTCATAGAAGATTAATAAAAGACTTTATCTTACAACATTTCTAGGCCACTAAACTTTTAGAAACTCTAATTTTGCACTGTGCATACCTGAGAAGGAACATTTTTGGGTGGCTCTATTCGAATTGTTGGGTCCCATTCTCCGGGAGGGAGAACTGTAACCTGATCAAGAAACTCATCTATTCCAGAAACCAAGTCATTACGATCTTTAGCTTTATAAGCAACATCATGGAATACCTGAGACAAAAAAAAGTGAAATACAAGAGATTCTCATTTTACATGTAAACAAGAGTGTAAAATCCTCATGATATCTACTTCTCCTACATGGTATGTAACTTATTTATTTCCCCAGTTTTAAAATGAATCACAGTTTTAAAATGAATCACAGTTTTGAACTAGCTGTAGTTTCTAGTAAGATAGCCAGTGTGGAAAGCAGTAGCACCCTTCAAAATCGCTGAATTTTCCAAGTATCTTACAGTTTTTAAAAAAAAGTGTGGTTGTTCCACTGAAAAGTGACTGTGTAAAAATGTGCATCTTCCTATTCAGCAGATCTGCTCTGTGAGTGTGAATTTTGGATCTCAACACCTATCTGCTTACTTCAATGACAAAAGTTACTTCCTCTAACCATCACAGCCATGGGATCATAAACTGGATTCTAATTCCATCTGCACATCATAAGAATGGTTAAACTATGTTCCAATTGGAGGCTCAAATCCTATCTTTGGTTATATCCATGCAACTTTATTGAAAAAAGCCAGATATATCAAAAAAGCACGTCTGTCTTTGGCTGCAGCAGCAGGAATATAATCATGGTGTTGAACCTTACACCACAAAATGAAAATGCTAAAATACAAGGGTTCAGAGACAAAAGTAAGTGCCTGAGTGCAGTGAACTTCAGCTATCTAGTCACCTAGGAGTGTTAGGAAGCTTGCAGGTAGGTCAGTTATAGAAAATATTTTCATTAAAATGTTACAGCAACTCTGCAAATGACTTCACAGACCTATATATTTATTAGCTATGGGCTAACATCAGGATGTAGTTGCCAACTGTTTCCTTTAAAGAGAGTTTTTCAAAGACTGTCTGAAAACAATGGGGGCTCCCACTAATTAGGCAGGTTGGCAGAGTATTTCAGGAGTACATATGGGCACTGAATCTGGTGAACTTCTTGGTTTAGGGTCATCCTCAGTTTGAAATAACTGTACAAACTATAGTTAATCAATAAATACCTCATCTGTCATTAGTGTTGCAATTGATCTTCCAATCTCATGGTACTGTTGGCCCTTCCCTAGTGGTCCCAGAAGAATAAACAAAAATCTGCACATAAAAAAGCCAAAAAAACAGATATTTCAAGAATGGAAAACTTAAACTGACATCATGTAACACAGAAAAGTTCATAAAATTGATTAGAGGAAGTAATATCTGAAGGGGGGGAAATAGTCTCTCTCTAAATATCCTTACACAGTAATTTAAAATTGGAGATACAATTACAAAACATTACGTAAATGTGTGCCATGCAAGGAGACGGCCTGAATAGCTTTAAATACCCAAACTCACTTAGGTTCCACAAACATGCAATTAAATTGTGGGTATCCTAAAAATTAGGCAAAAGTACTTTTGACAGAAGCATATATTTATCAGTATGTAGCATCTTTGCAAAATTATGGAAGATACCCTATCCCTAGACAGACACACACACACAAAGGGTGTCTTCTATTTAAGAGGATTCTAGTTCTCCTCTATGCTATTCCCTATACATCTATTTTCAAGTATCAGAACTATGGAACGTTCTGCCAAGAGCTCACAGGGTTGCCAAATAGAGCAATTGACAAAAAATTTCATTTTAAACTTTTTTCTCACAAAAAATGATGATTTATAAAAAATAAAATTGTTCGGTTTTTCTTTAATTTTCCCAATCAATTAAAAAAAAATACCCAAACTTCTTTTACTAGCAGCAAAATGAAAAATAGAAAAGGGTCAGGGAAAGAAAACTGAAAAACTCAAACCCAAAACATTTTCAGTTTCAGAAACAAAAATGTTTTTGAATTTTTTATCAAAAATTTTGAGAAGCTTTTTCCCGTTTTTTGCAGAATATACTCGTCATATTTTGACCAGCTCTTGAGTCAAGTTGTATAAAGAAGATGCCGTATGTGGAGTTTTCATCCCTGTATGGCTGTATAGGTACACACCCACACACACATTTATTTGCTAGTTAGTCAACCATCACCCAGATTTGTTTTCCAAGTTCATGTTTACTAAAGTGACAAACCCAATTAGGGCTGATCTAATTATCCATTAAGAATTTAGCCTTTTTATCTCCTTGCAAATCACTCAGAAACTGAATTCAGTGAATATACTTGTTATTCAAAAGTATTCACCAAATATTTATATGAACAATTATTACTATGGAGTGGTCAATGAATAATGAATAGTCAGAGTGTGATTGGTCACCCAAGTCAGATGGTTTTGTTTCTGCTCTGTTTAAAATGAGCAAATGGCAAAGAATGAATGATGAATTAAACAGAGCACTTCTAACATGAGTTCTTGTACAATTAATCATCCAGAACACACTCATGATTTTGCCATCAGCTCAGAGTAATGGGCACTGCACTGCTGTGTCACCAAGAGTCACAATCTCCTTCCTAGTTCCCTCACTGCTTGGATAAGGGAGTAGACTGCTTCTGTTCTGTCTCCAATGCATTGGTGCAGTTATGCTATCTGGCATGTTAGTGGGTAAGGTTAAGGCTCTGCTCACTCCACACCCCATTTTGTGCCTACCTGTGCAAGAAGGTGATGTGGTGGCTGGGCAAAACTTTCTCTGACCATTTCGCTACCCACAATGACTCTGCACCACCACATTAGTTGGACCATAATTAGGCCCTCATATTAAAAGTAACTAAATATTAACATTTAATTAAATATTAATTATTCATGTATTAAATGTTAATTATTAATATTTCACGTACATTTGTGTTAATCCCAATTAGTTCTAATCTTTCACAAATAACTACATTTTGTATCAGCATATCATTGTTTATATTGTGGTAGCATTCTCAATGTTTAGTTTCCTGGGAAATTTCTCCCCCCTTTTACTTCACTTTTAAAATTATTTAGACAATAAAATTAAAAGAATTCATTTCTCCCCCCTTCCAGGTTCCCCTGAAAGGGAGAATACAAGTCAAATCCAAGGAAGCAAAGGGAAGGGGTCTAATCATGGGGAACAAACTATGAGAGGAGCAGTGGTGAAATTTGTGGGTACTGGAATCCAATTGCCCCCTTCAGTTCTCTCTTTTTCAGCTGTTTACCCCAGATGCCTATTGCTCTTGAACAATGCTATGTTAATAAAGAATTGGAATGGGCTCTATCTTTTATACCAATGTATTTATTTCTTTGTCATTTCTCCCTCCAGGAAAAGTTATGCAGGATTATGCAAACAATTATAGCTCCCAGGTAACCTGATCAACCTCTTTGCTGTTTACCTCTTCAGTTTCTTAGCAATTCATCTGAAATGTTTGTAATTCAAATATGCTAATCTGTTCATCACAGTTTCAGAAACAGTGCACTTCTGCTTCTACTTCTGAAAAGGGCACACAGGCCTCAGGTCCAATAATTAACCTAAGTATGCATTATTTAAAGGAAGAAAGGAAAGATGCCTGCCCCTCTTATAAGGTAATAATTCAATTCGTAACTGGATAAAAAACAGGGCTAAAGGATGATTCCCATCCACATCCACATGTGATGCAATTTAGAAAAATATGAAATGGAATAAACTACCATCTATATTTTTAGCACAATCTATACTTACCTTGTTGGAATTGGAACTTCAGCTAGTCCTGAAAGCAATACTGCAGGGGACAATCTAACAAAAGCAACTACGGCACGATCCAAAAACTCTAGTTCACCAACTAAAATATTTGACGCTTCAGCTCCAGGAGGTATCTTTTTCATAAAGTGTAGGTCAACCTAATAATTAAAAGAATAACAGCAGCAAAGTTCAAAGGAAAGAGCTTGATATATTGTCTGAAAAACTAACGTACATAACGATCTCTCTCTATTTCATTGACACAGAGTATCTTCACTCGGTCACCACCTAACGTACGACCAGCTGCCTGAGATTTTTAACCAGTCTACTTGCGGTGTTCTCTTCTCTTGAATAATTTTAAAAAGAGAAATAAACGACTGATTCTTGGTAATATGAATAACTATCAGTCTTTAGCATTTGCCCAACTGTGCAAAGGGAATATAGATAATCCTGCTGCACAAACAACTTTTAACGTATCCTAAATATTTTACCTACAGGGCCAAAGCAAATATTAACAGGAAATACACCATCTTTTGTTTTCTGCTATCTTCTTTATTATGCTAATTAACAGTAGTTATGAGAGGGCAAAGCCTTGGCTTTGTCAGCAGGTGCAGCGTGTAGGAAACTTGGATTCAGTGGATGAGGTTGCCATGCTAGAGTCCCAACAAGATGGGAGATTGACATCTTCCTTCCATGACTGTTTCCTATCAGCCAAAAATCACAAAGCACTATTGCTGTCAGGCTTGGAGGAAGATGTTTTCCAACCTTCTGAGCATGAGAAAATAAGCTATGAACATAACGGTCTAGCTAGGGTATTTTAAAGAGTGAAGTGGGGTAATAAGTTTGAAGCTACAGCGCAATGGTACTCAATGTTGAAGAGATGGAGAAGCCATGCCATTACTGAATGGCATCACAGATTGATTATTCCTTTTATAAAGGTTCCTTAAGGCCCAACTGGAACAAGTTTTTGGCAAGAGTCAGACCCATCTTAAATATATTCAAACATTCAACTTTTTATTTTACTTTATTTTAGGTTTGAAATGTGCTGGGTGTATATCAAACTGTCATTTTTAACAATCTAAATGAGTTTTAATGTATCTTGATTGCACCATTATTTCTATATAGTCTATAGTTATTTGCCTGATATTCAGACTCATATATTTATGTATTACTTCCCCAATACCATTCTAAATGTCATTATGTAATAATGATAGCAATACAATATAAAACACGTATAATTGACTTCATAATGCACTAGTCTTGCCTAAGAATTTCAGACTGTATGGTTTTGTCATTTGCTTTCCTTTTACTAATCTAAATACAACAACAGTGACCAAATCCAATATAAACTGTTAAAGTGGACCATTTTAATGTCTATCTTACAGCCATCTGTCAGTACTAGTGTAAATAGTCTTCAGTAATATTTAGAAAACTGTTTTCTTTGCAAATGGCTCTGGCACTTACTCAGAATTTAGACATAACAGAGTTGCCTGTGTTATGAAATATATTTTTAAAATTTTATTATTTCCCCAAACCCAAAAAGCCATGTTTCTAATGTTACCCCAATCTAGCATAAGCATTCTTTATGATAACATGAATCATACTTCAGTGTGTTAGACAACTGACAAACCAACATGAGGGACTAAGGACTAGTAGACTGAAAGGTCTGAGTATTTTTTCAGAGGACTAAGCTACCAGAGTCTCAGCAGATGCTTGAGAAAAGATCTCTTTCTCTTTTTTATTATTTTTTAAAATACTTTGCCTATCATGGTCTCTAGGGGCTTTTGCCATGAATTAAAATTACAATCACAAAAAATTGAAACAACAGCTGCTCCTCACCCCCAAAACCAGAAAATAACTAACTAGAGATGAAATCAAAATCCCAAACAATAACCCCTTAATGTACCCCAAAATCTGAATAGGTAGAGGAGCCCTGCAGTGTGCCATATTTAGGCTATTTCAGACCAAAAGATCTAAGAGTGGGAGCCCTTCATGGTAAACAGTTTATACTGAGGCGATTCCAGCTGGAGTTCCTCTATTGCCTGCAGTTTGGTAATATTACATGAGGAGAGAGGTACTCGCTCAAGTAGGCAGATTTCAAGGGCTTTATAGGTTAAAATCAACACCTTAAACTTAATCAAGAGACAACTAGGCAACTGGGACAGACCATGGAGCATTAGTGTCATGTGCTCAAGGTAAGAAACTCCACAGAGCAGGTAGACTGCTGCTTTCCGCATTAACTTTGGTTTGTGACTGGATCTTAGGTGTTGTCCCATGTAGCACACATCTGAGGTGAGAAAGGCATCATTGATAGTGGCAAGAATGTAAAAGAAGACAGTCATACTCTCCTGGCCAAATGAAAATGAAAAAAGATTTCCTATAAACTGCTGCTATATTATAATTGAAGAGCTGGGGTTCCAAGAATGACTCTAGACTGTGAAGTCTCACAGCCAAAGTCTTCTAGTTAAAATTCCATGAGGCCATTTTATCCATGTAAACAAAAGCTGTCTCTTTCCTACTTCATGAAACAACTACTGATGTTTAACTTATTGAGGGTTCTTAAGGTTAGCTAGAAAGGTGGGAATTTGTTCTCCTCTCACACCCAGGGGTGCAGAAACAATTTTTATAGTGGGCATGCTGATGGTGGAAACCATGGTGTTTGTTATTACTATTTCAAGCCAGTGGGTGTGGCGGCACCCCCCAGCACCACTGCTCACACCAGTGAGAATCCGGAATGGTTCTGATGAAGTCAATGATATCACATCAGTGTAAAACTGGTGAATGAAGTTTCAAAATCTGCTGTCTCCATTTTCCTTCAGCATGAAAACATACCTAGAAAACAGAGTCTGATTTTGAAAGCTGTGGAGTTAAAGACCCACAACTATGAGTTCAGGGGGTTCTGGCATTCAAATTTCTAAATGGCTATGGAAAACTGTGAGAAAAGTATTACATGAAGTGGTGGAGTGTTCTCTAGGTTGCTGTTGGTCTCATCGCCGTTTTAAAATTTTAGTTAGACAAATCTATTTTTATTGTTACCCTTTTCAATAGATGTTACATTTCAATACACAGAACATTCACCAAAAAAAAATGAATATTAGTTTGCACCAATTAACACTTTTAAAAACAACATTGAATAAAAATGTTATACCCTAGAAAGGGATACATTTGTTTACTGATACATATATTTATGTATTTAAAGGATTAGTACTCCAATTTGAATTACATGTCTCTGCTGTAGTTAAATCTGCTTATAACCAGTGTAGAAAGACAGCCAGAGTGCTGCCTCATCTCTCTCTTCGTGATGCAAAGGTCCTTTTCATGTCTTTGTTTCATCCCACATAGACAACTGTACTGCCCTTTTTAATGGTCTCCTAGCCCCTGCACACAAAGCTGACAGACTTCAGCTGGTACAAACTGCTGCTGCTAGGATTCGGTCTGGCACCAGATGGAGTGAGCACATAACTCTAGTGCTGGCTCAATTATACTGACTGGCAGTCAGATTCCACAATGGATTCAAATTGCCATTCTTCACTAACTGTATAAATCCCTTTAGAATTTTAGTTCTAATAACCTTTCCTGATTTGCTTAACTCTTATTCACCCAAGCACCAGTTGAAGTCATCTGTTGCTGGCATGCCTATCTCATGTCTGTCTGTACCTACTGTGAAAATTTGTTTTAGGCATGCAGTACCTTCTCCAAAGATGAGAGACATTTTTTATACCAAAACTGAAGACTAGCTTGTGTTTCCTTGCTTTCTATTATTAGTTTGTCATTAAAAACCATACTACTGAGCTACTATACAACTTTGTAAAGTGCATTGAAATATCTCGGCGTGACACAATGTTATGAAGTTATAGATGTTTAACAAAAGCAAATTATTCTTCAGACACACAGAATCCACAAAAGCAGGTTACAAAAAGAGCATTTTACATTTATACATTATTCCCACAAGAGAACACATGCTAAATCTGAATGATAAGCAATCTGAATTACTTTCCTACTTAGTCAGCCCTTTACTCATTTCTGAGACCTCTCCCTACAATCTGTTGCCTCCTTACAGTGTTATGCAATGAAAAGTGTGTCTAATCTTCTGGAATGTGATTGCCTGTTGGCAATATTTTAACTATGTTTTATTGGAAACGTTTAAAACCCTTCTTTATTGTAGGTGCAACCTATGTATTTTGTGGCACTGACATGTGACAATGTATAATATTGAAGTGAAACATCATTAGAGCTTTCTCTGATTAACACAAGCCACTCTTTTTATTTAAAATTTCTACTTGTCAGTCAGAAGGCTCTTTTCACAGTCAATAAATGCTTACCTTGCTAAAGTCAACAGTGCTGTTTTCTCTGCTCACGTCATTTTTATTTTCAACACAGGCGGGAGCAGACTGTGGGGAAACAATCTGACCTGCTAAAAAAAAATATTGTTATTACAGAATACTAACAATTATTTACATTACTACAGAAGCATTCTATGAAACAAGTGTTAGAATTAAATTAGAGTATCACATATGTTTCATACTGCATGTGTATGAGAATGGAAGTGAAATTAAAGACGTATTTAGAACAACAGCCAAATTCTCAACAGACATAACATTCGTTAGCTGCAGCTAGAGATGGGAGAATCCATTTTAGAAAAATTTAAACCTACTGTTGAACATTGTGAGGACAGATTTTTGTGCCATTCACAGTGTATAAGTTCTGTTAAGAGTTGTTACTCCGTTAAAAAATCCCTATTCAAAAAACAGTCCCACATCTACCAAGGTAATTTCCTAAGCAATGTGAGGAGCTGCCAACTTTAGGTCTCAGTCCTAAACACTTGTCCATGTGAGTAGTGAATCAAAGGGGACTCCCCATGTACATAAATTTCCTCATGTGCGTAAATGGGCATTAACTAGCATGACAACAAAAGCTAGAATAAAGCATCATTATGAAAAATAAATGTATTGAAATTTAGGTTGTTCAAAAAAAATTATAAATTGTTAAATAAAATATTGAAATGAAAAACAATAAATGAAGAAATTTCCAATAAAATCTAGGGAGGAAGAAACACAACATATTTATAAAAATTAGAATTGCTCAAGACAGGAAGAAGTGTTCAAACATAAGCCATAATCATGCAAACAAACACACGCATGAGTTTATTCACATTAGTAGTGCTAGTGAAGCCAATGGGATTGCTCATGAATGAAGTTATACATGGGAGTATGTGTTTGCAGGATTAAGGCCTTAGACTAGTGTGTGTGTACAGCACAATGGTCTTATGGAAATATGGCTCTTACAGTCTTATGTAGACCAGCGCAATGAGTACTGATGTGTGGTTCTCAGCCTGGTGTGACTCGCAGCATTTTCCATCTTCTCATTTGAATATCGTCCTTTGCTTTTCTAGTTATAGTCAATTATCTATTAATCTCAACTGAGTCAAGTATTTTTAGCCATTTAAGAAGAGGGACAAACATTATTACTTAAAAGTTGTTTTACAGGTCTCCAAAACAAGCAAACAAAGAAACAAACAATAAGCTATAAGGCTATAGGAAACTAATATTCTTGTAGGGGAAACCTGACTAAGTGTGAATAATAATACCTGCAGTAAAATAGTTGGGTTTTGCCACTGAAGGTGCAAAAAGAGTATTAGGTAACAGAAGAAGGGCATGTAAGGGAGAAAAATATCCATCCATATATTTAAAATATATTTTAATTAATGTGGACACTCAGCTCCCTCTGGAAGAGAAGGGAGGGAATGGGAAGGGAAAGAACAGTTCATTTAATTCGTTTGGTTTGATTGTGAGAATTAGAGTAAATTCTATCTCAAATCAATCTGTAAAATTTAAAGGACTTGGAGGGGAGGGAGAGACACACATAAATACCTTGGGTGAAAAATGTTGAACTGATTGGGTGGGAAGTGCCATGTCAGAAAGGGAGAAAATTGGGCAACCTAGCCACAGAAAGAAAACTCTGGGTATCTAAGAGGTGCATAAAAGAAGGCCTGACAACTGAAAGCCTAGCAGCAAATAAGATGTCTAGTAAGGGTGAGACACTGAAATGAAAATCAGGAGCATCTCAAGAAATAAAGGGCTCAAACCTGCAAGGTTCTACCAGATTTTCAAAGGTATTTAGGTGCCTAAAGATGCACATATTTAAGTACTCCAGAGCTAAGCAGCTAACCTTTTTTAGGCACTTTTGAAAATCCCCACTGCATCTTTAGGTGCCTAAATCTGCCCCTAAATATGCTCAGCTGCCATCAGAAAAAGCTAAGCAACTTGCAGGATCAAATCCTGTGGGGAACTATAGAAATACCTTAACCCTGAACAAAGAATAAATGTCCAGCTTTCTGCCACAATCAATGAGCGTTCCAGTGCACAGCTGACAGGGATTTTCTGTTGCAACAGTTATTGGATAGAAAAATGTGATTTCCACAAAATCAAAGTTTTCCACGGGAGAATGTTCATGTTGCCAAAACAAAGGTTGAAAATATTGAAATTTATGATGTGATGAAAATTCTGATATTTGATCAACTCTATTCCAGACAGAGAGGGAGAAAAAGAGCGAGTGTTCTAGCAGATGCATTTAAGCAAGCAGGTTACAATTCTGAGATAGTTAATTTTACTTTTATGTGATGATGATTAATGGATTATTGTAATCTGAAAATTTTCCCATAAAACAAGGATTTTAAGAGAATTCTAATCTATACAAATATTTCAGGGGAACATCTACAATTTTTCCAAACGGTTCTCCCACTACTAGTTATAAATATTCGGTATGAATGGGCAAACTGTTAATTAGCCGCCATTCAATTTGCCAGTCTCAAAATTATAACTGTAACTTTAAAAAATAACAACTTCATACCCTTCATACTATATATTACTGCATATTACTATGTTTTAATACTTTAAAAACTGGATTTTGATATGTAGGAATATACTAGAATCATTTTAGACCATAACCCTCCTAGACAATGGTGTTCAATTTATTTGGATTATAGAACCACAGTATGTGAATACCATTTCTGCACCATTTTGGTGATTTCAATAATGTAATGTAAAACTCTCTGGTGACTCTGTACTGCATTTTTTTTTTACATTCTATTAAAGTGAAATGCACCCCTGTGGAGAGGCCCAGCAGAAAGCCTTTGCACCACTTACATCACACTTAAGCTCTTTGCTAAGTGCTAAAGGTACCCTTAAATAGAGTTGGGCTTTGTATGCACATGAGTTAATAGACTGCATGAAGAATAAATGCAATACAAAAATCTCCAGTGGTTTACATTACTCAGGGAAGAATTTCACAACTAGTAAGCATATGTAACACAGAAGAGAGACGTGTTGCAAAATGTCTGGGCCAGATTCTGCTCTCAGTTATACCCAAACAACCCTCATGATTTGGTTGGGATCATAAGGGTGCAAGAGAATGTAAAATTTAGATTTTTAATTTAAGATCTATAATCTCCTCAAATTCAGGGAAGAATACTATTGGGATTATGTGAAATGGATTGAATGCTCATTATTTATTTTTCTAGGCAAACAGGAAACATGTATAATTACAGATATTAGCATACACATTTTGTATGCTAGAGGGGAAGAGAGAGAGAGAGAGAGAGAAGCTTAAAGTTTTTTCATAACTTAGTATTTACATCTGTATTGTTATTCCATAAAGTGAAAGCTGAAATGCAATTCTTTAATTAAATTCTGGCCCTTGTACAAAGATGGAGTAAATGGGAGCAGAGATGTTTGGCAGGAGAAATAAAATCATGCCCTACAACCCAGAGCAAGAACATGGACCCACTGTGCAGACTTCTATAACTGCTATAGTGCAGACTCAAACTTCACATAAGTGTATACCTACCCATTGAGCTGGGGGTGTGATTCCCAGCTCAAGGAAAAATACCTACTATAGCTTTTGTGGACGCTATCGTGCTAAAAATAGAATGTTGCTGCAGCAGCACAAGCTAATGGAGTGGCTACCTGTGTTGAGTTTGTACTCATCCAAGACCTTAGGTATGTACTCAGGACCGCTAGTCTATCCCACCACGTCTGCTGCCACAGCTACACTCTATGTTTAGCTCTCTTTCTCCATGAAAATGGCAAACATCATATCTAATTTTAAAAAGGGGAACAAAGAGGGGTTAGGGAATTGGAGACTGGTCTACCTAACTTTGATAGCTGTAAAGATACTGGAACAAATTATTAAACAATCAATTTGTAAGTGCTTGGAGGATAATAGGGTGATAAGGAATAGCCCTGTCAAACAAGGAAATTCGGTTGGTTACTAGCCTAGTAGATAGGGCGAAGCAATAGATGCGCTATATCTTGATTATAGTGAGGTTTTTGACACTGTCCCACATGACATTCTCATGAGCAAACTAGAGAAATGTGGTCTAGATTAAATTACTAAAAGGTGGGTGCACAACTGGTTGAAAGACTGTATTCAAAGACTAGTTATTCAATGGTTCCCTGTCAAACTGGGAGGGTGCATCTAGTGATATTCCACAGGGACCAGTCCTGAGTCCAGTACTATTCAATATTTTCATTAATGACTTGGCTAACAAAGTGGAGAGTATGCTTATAAAATTCACAGATGACACCAAACTGGGTGGGGTTCCAAGCACTTAGGAAGACAGCATTAGAATGCAAAATGACCTTGACAAATTGGAGAATTGGTCTGAATTCAACAAGATGAAATTCAATAAAAACAAGTGCAAAGTACTTCACTTAGGAAGAAAAAATCCAATGCACACCTACAAAATAGGGAATAATTGGCTAGGTGGAAGTACTGCTGAAAAGGATCTGGGGATTATAGTGGATCACAAATTGAAAGAGAGCCAACAATGTGATGCAGCTGCAAAAACAGCTAATTTCATTCTGGGGTGTATTAACAGGAGTATCGCATGTAAAACATGGGAGATAATTGTCCTGCTCTACTTGGCACTGGTTAGGCCTCAGCTGGAGTACTGTGTCCAATTCTGGGCACCACACTTTAGGAAGGATGTGGAGGGACAGCTCAGTGGTTTGAGCATTGGCCTGCTAAACCCAGCATTGTGAGCTCAATCCTTGAAGGGGCCACTTAGGGGTGGGGCAAAATTAGTAGTTGGTCCTGCTAGTGAAGGCAGGGGGCTGGACTCAATGACCCGTCCCTTCTAGCTCTATGAAATAGGCATATCTTCATATATTTATTTTAAGGGGGGGGGAGGGATAGCTCAGTGGTTTGCGCATTGGCCTGCTAAACCCAGGGTTGTAAATTTAATCCTTGAGGGGGCCATTTGGGGCAAAAATCTGTCTGGGGATTGGTCCTGCTTTGAGCAGGGGGTTGGACTAGATGAACTCCTGCGGTCCCTTCCAACCCTGACATTCTATGATTCTATGAAATTGGAGTGTCCAGAGGGAAGCAACAAAAATGATAAAAGATTTAGAAAAC